ATTTGAGTCAAGCTGACAAATTCACCTATCAAGATAAAAACATGAGCGCACATCTTACATGGTCATGGTACAAGATTGCCCTTTAACGTAGGCTGCAACCAGAGCAGTAAGACCAGCTCAACTGATGATAATAGCATTTATCTGTCCAGTTCTCCAGTGTGGAAAAAAAAAGATGGACGACACTCACTGCAATTTGGCTTCTGTCCCAATGGCTCCACTGAAACTACTTTTGCAATTGCTTAAAGCAATACATACTGTTTCGTCCCTTAGTTAACCTGGTTTGTTGTTTTTGTTTTAATTTGACTGTACTGATCAACTCATGCTCCTAAATCTCCCTTCTCTCGGCTTCTAAAAATATACCCTGTTGGTTTGATTACTGACTGTCTGAAGATTCCTTCCCTAAAATGTATTCCTAGACCAAATCCTTATATCACCATCGATACATAACTAAAAAGTCCTAATACAAATTAAATGTATATCCCTTCAAAGACAATGCTCTTGGTTGTTATTAAATTTTTCAATTACAAAATTCTAATTAAAACTAAATTCAAAATAAATAAAAATTCCTATAAGCTGATTATACTCCTTGAACTACAAAATTCCATGGGTCACTAAAACATCCCATGAATTGCTTCTATACTTTGAAGAGTTTTATCTTAAAAGGATACAGAGTCTTTATGCACAAAAAAGAAAAAAAGAATTACTTCTTTTTTTTTAAACTTTTTTTTCAACGTTTTTATTTATTTTTGGGACAGACAGAGACAGAGCATGAACGGGGGAGGGGCAGAGAGAGAGGGAGACCCAGAATCGGAAACAGGCTCCAGGCTCCGAGCCATCAGCCCAGAGCCCGACGCGGGGCTCCAACTCACGGACCGCGAGATCGTGACCTGGCTGAAGTCGGACGCTTAACCGACTGCGCCACCCAGGCGCCCCGCCCTCAGAATTATTAAGAACAGAGATTAAACATAATATAGTAAGCTTATGTTGTATTTTCATTGCCAGAATCCCAAAAAATAATCCAGAAAACAACTCACCAGGAGCACAAAATAAAAACTACTCTGTGAGTACAGCATTCTATCCACTAGGAATCCCTGCTGTCTTACAAAGCACTTCTGTACTTAAGGGTAAAGAAGAGTTGTTAATTCTCAAGCAAAGACACCGAGGTCTGCCAGGGTGCTAGAGTGACTTATACCAATAAAGAAAAGCTAGAATATTTTGAATATTACACCCAAATACTATACATGGTAATTCTATAAAATCACAGTACTCAGTTAACTAATAAAGATCTTTGGGGGGTGTCTGGGTAGCACAGCCACTTAAGTGTCTGACTCCTGATTCTGGCTCAGGTCATCATCTCATGGTTTGTGGGTTCCAGCCCAGGACCAGGCTCTGTGCTGACATTACAGAGCCTGCTTGGGATTCTCTCTTTCCCTCATTCTCTCTATGACCCTCCCCCACTCAATCTCAATCTCTCTCTCAAAATAAACATTAAAAAAAATTTTGTTCTCACAATTGTTAAACTGTACAGTATCATGAAAGACAAGAAAGTTCTTCAAGTTGTAAACATGTAAACTTTGGGAAAGATCACTGTAACTTTTACAAATAGTTTCATTTTAAACCTCATCTCAAAATTCAGAAAGCACAGAGAAAGTAGTGCAGCTCAGACAAGTGGTACAGTTCTCACTTCCAATACCCCACTTATGAGGATGCAAATCCCCTA